CAATTTCATTTTACTATTTATGCACAGATCCATCTCACCCAGATCAATCCATCAGGCAATGTTTAAGTGATCTACCAACTGCAGACAAATAACTAGAAATAGGAGAAAACAAAAAAAAGGGTGTCTGTATCATGATGTAGTGCTAGTCTGAAACATGTTGTTCCAATGCAGGCTATGCATAAAGCTTGTGTGCCTGTTGATTTCAATAATTATACTGTGTGACCAGCATTAAGCTGCACATCTAAGCAGAGGACACAAAGATAGAGAGAGAGAGAGAGAGAGAGAGAGAATGACGATGGGAGCTACGCTGTGCTATTTAAAGCCAGTTCTTGTGAAAGATCAAAACCTTGAAACATTAACTCTGTTTCCTCTTGCAGATGTTACCAGACTTATACAGTACTGCTAACACTTTTTTGTATTTATTAAGCTGTTAGGGCACATTATGATGCATCTTTGGGGCAGGTAGAATTTGAACAGAGATTGTATGATCCAGAGGTAGGAAAACTACAACTGCACCACAAGCCTGTGTTAATTGCTACTTACAGCTAGCCTTCAGCTCTTACAAGGGAAGATGTATCTTATTAGAGCATTTGCTGGAAGTTGTTCAGTTACAGAACATGGAAGAGAGCGGACTCCAAGCTTTTCTGAAGTCAGGTGGAGGTTTGGTACAGGGGGTGAACAGGAGGAGAGGTGTGGTTTATCCACAGGCAATCAAAAAATCTCCAGATAAACGTTATGAAGGAGAAGGAGCAGAGCATTGTGGCAGTCAATGACAAGAGACTAGTCACAAGGACATGGATACCATTCTGTGAAAAGTTCAATTACCCGACATGAGTGATCAAGGTCAGTAAATACATTTGCAAATACAATGAATCGCTGTCAGCAGCTATTGCTCACTGCCCTATATCCACCTACAAGCAATTTCAACCATGAATCATACTGAACATTCATAGATGCATTTTTCTCTTACACATTCAACATTGCTGCAAGCCTAAAACCCACATTTCACCGTTTGTGTACACTAACAGCGATTTAAGTGTTACAGCAACATCTGAACCACACAGGATTACACTCACTGTCACACTTCTGTTCACCTTGCAGGACAAGGTTGTACATTACAGGAGGCAGCAGGCACTGACTGGCTGGGAACATGCTTTTAGTTCACAGAAAAGGTGCTATTCATTGGTGAAATGACCATGTATAATGTCAAGGCCAAACCATCAAAGACAGCAGTATTATCACACATTTCCACTTCTTCAACCCAGTCGTTGGTTTTTCATGTTGTGGCTGTAAGCATGGACCCTTGCCTTCCTCCCTCCCCTCTCCACCACCCCCCACACACTCTCTCATGAAACTCAAACTTTCTCCATTCTGATACCCACAAACTTAGCCATTTTGTGAAAAACAGTTAGAAAGCAATGATGTTGAAGAGGAACTAACACTTGGTTTCACATTTGCAGCCAGCAGTTCAGGTATTTATTTTTATGTTAGAGCATGGGATGTGACATCATTGGCTTTGCCAGCTTTTATGACCCATCTCATTGATGGTATAGAGAATTTACAGGATAGCATTGACACCGCGCTGAGCAATTACAGCCACATTGGCAAGGGTAATACAGGTACTAGCTCACCAAAGATTCAGGTCATAGGTGTGTTCCAGTACAAAGAACTCAGCTGAGGATGTTGCTGGGACTGCATAAAGTTAATTGGTCTACACAATGAAATGTATGTACTTGGAAATCTGTGAGAAAGCATTGTAATTCTCAATCAGCTTGGCACAGGACTTTGCACAAAGCTTGGAACCCGTCTGGATTAGCACAGAAGTGGCACCTATCTCCACTTGTACACTTATGAACACAATCGCGATGCAGCGTCTGATGTCTCGGCTTCCACCATGCGTCAGTGGAAAGTTAAACTGCTATCATGCAAGGTCTGCTGCCATTGTGGCTGTGGGGGTCCAGTGTGAACAGAACCTTGCAGGGTGTCAGCTCATGCGAGGCCTTGTGACATGGCGGTGTGTAAATGGAGCATGAATTTACTGTCCTCTCTCAGGAAGACAGCATTCATCCTCCCAGCATTGCCATTCTGCCAGGATCCATGCTGCTAGTTGTCATTGTAAGATTGTGTAGTGTCTAGGTGGGCCTTTTAGGCTGAAGACTACTTGAACTCATTCTCCATGGTCATTCATAGTCTCCCTCAGTGAGAGCAGCTACAAGGGTAGCACTGTATAGGAGCAAGATGATAGGCAAAGGAAGCAATTACCAAAGAAAGGCACAAAGGTTGACAGGTGGCTTTTATGTGCTGTGTGACATAATTTTGTCTGTGTGGTCGGTTTACAATATTTATTTTAACATTGTGGCCAAGTGATCACTATGTGGGTAATGACAGAGGGAAGATAAGGTACAGCACTGTTGGTGAATGGGAAATTGAGATTGTGATATTGGTATTGGAGTTGGATTTGAAGTAAAAATAATGCATGACAGTCAAGCTTTATATATTCAACTCCTAAGTTAATATGTATTTTCATTATTGTGATCTAGTAAGTCAATGTGATTTAACAGTAAACTGTTTCAAAGGCAGAAAAGGAACTTTATAATTATGGAAACATTAGGGCTGATCCATTTGGACTTATGCAAACATTAGGACTAAATCCAAACTGAATTTCTGCATCTCAAACTTAATATATATAGTATGTCCTGTATTATGAATATACTTTACATCAGTGTGACTCTGTTGTGCAGTTGCCCATTTTTCAAAGTGAGAATTGCTGCTCACAATGTAGGTTAGTTCAACTTCAATTATTCCTAGTGTATCTCCTTACAAAGCTCAAAACGTCTCAAAATATTGTTAATTATTCTACGGAAGTCTTGCTATTTCTAACGGTGCTCCCTCAACTCAATATTTTCAGAGTTGTTGGCCTTCACCCATATGTAATTCTTGGAGAAACAGGCTAGACACATTTGATGTATTCTTAACCTAACAATCTGAATGGGCCCCAATCCTTTTACAGTGGCCAAACATTAAATACCAGTACTGAAACGAATTGCAAAATACTATAGCCTTAAAATATAGCTGTAAAATTATTGACATCAATGGATTGGCACAGATAATTTAGCTTCATTACTGAAAGAAGAAAGATCACCAGTTGTACAGGTTTGAAGTAAGTGTAAACTAATGTTTAAAAAAAAGGTCTGTAGCATACCAGCTAGAACATTCTTTTCCTTTGTATACAAAATATAAATAAACTAAATAGACGCAATGCATTTTCATTAGCAATGTGGATGTTCAATCAAGTTGATCAATTCAGACCAGTCTGAATAGCATGGGGCCTCAAAATCCACCCAGTCCATGAGGTCAACTCTGTAAATGTGTGGGACGAAAAAAAATTAGAACCAAACATCTGGTCTACTACTTAGTTCTCAACTATGCAAACTGCCAAGTCTGGATCTGCTATTTTGAGTTGATTTATATGCATTCTTTGAAAAACAGCAAGATTAAACATAAATAAAAAATTAGTTTTGAGAGATTATACAGTTGTCAGTTGTGCACCTCATCTGATCAATTTTGAGCTGACAATGCATATGTATTCTAATATAATGTAATGCATTTTCAGAAAGCCACAGAGAAGCCTCTATCCCCTTGTATCCTTAGCAAACTGCAACAGATTGCATCAGACTGTTCAGGAAAGTTTCTCAGAAAAGGTACACAGCTGTGTGCATGTTAAAAACTGTAGTACTTCCAGAGAATTATAAATGTTGATTATTGTTTAGCACGATTGAATTTGAATGGCACATTGCTGCATAATTATATGAATAGTTTTGGAATCTAAAGCAACATGCAATTTTGTGATAACCTATTTTTTAAATGATTTGCAATTATATTTTGGAATGATACTACTCTTCCAACTGTTAGTTAAAGAAAACAAACTACAAAATGCAGGTCTCAAGCAAGGTTAAAGATTAGAAGAAATATGTCCCTTAAGGATAGTGCATTTGTGCAATCAACCACTTGAGGAGGAAACTGAATTAGAATCAACTGAGACAACAAGGCGCAGGGCTGGATGAACATAGCAGGC